TTCAGATATTTGAGAATCGAAAAAATCCAATATGCAAATATATTCGCATAAATTTGCGAATTTATTCAAATTTTTTCTAAACCAAAAAATATTCGGATATATTTGCTCCCAAAAATTTCCTGATGCGGTGAATATATTTGGATATATTTGAAAATTGAAAAAATCTGAATATATGTGAATATATTTGCATAAATTCATGAATTTATTCAGATTTTTTCTAAATTAAAAAATATCTGAATATATTTGTTCCAAATATTTGAGAATTGAAAAAATCTGAATAAATTCGCGAATTTATGCGAATATATTTACATATATTTGAATTTTTTCGATTCTCAAATATATTCGGATATATTTGCCCCTAAAAATTTTCTAATGTAACAATCAATCAGTGATCAGTCAATTATAAATAATCAGTAAAGAATCAATTAACAATCAACATTAGTATTATGAATTTTAATTAATTTTTTAGATAGTTTTTAAGTAAAATTAGGATATATACTTTAATTTCATTATTTCTTCTTGTACTTTTTTTATTTTTTTAATAAAATCTTTATTGTTATCTATAAATAAATTATATAAATACTTGTTTTTCCCTTTGCATTTGTTTATAAATTATAAATAAAATCTACATTGTATAATTCAAAGTCTTAAAATCTAGGAATAAACTATCAATCTTCATTTCTTCACTCAACTTAACTGGAATTCACTTTTTTCATTTTTCAAACTCATATATCTTTTAAATTCTTATCAAGTTCTAATGAAACTATTCTATTTTGTTTCTTATTTTCTTTAGATTAGAATTTGTCACATTTTCTCTTCTCTATATTCACTATCTCTTCTTTAATTGTCACTTCTTTGTTTTACCCAGTTTCTTTGTCTTTTATTATTCTATAATATAGAATATTAATTACTTTAGTATTATTTGTCTTTTCATACTTCCAAAATCTATTGATAATTACTGAATTAAACTTAAGTACTTGTTGTACTTGTTCTCTCACTTTCCCAACAGGTAATATTAATATAATAGGTGAATTATCAGGTTAATTATTTCTTGCTAAAATTGGTAAATCAATAATTTGATAGATCATAACCACAGTAAATTAAAGAAATATAAATATAAGTCTTTCCTGACCTTGGAAAGATAGTTTAATAGTTTTTACAGATAAAACAGATCAGAACAGAGTTTAGAATCAAGTTTTCTTTAGTTAATACATTATTTAATCCTTTAATATTTATCTTTAATTTTTTAATTTTTATTTTTATATTATATTTTATCTTTATATTTATTATTATATTTATTAATAAAGTTATATCATATTAATATCTCTATTAAATCTTTAATTTGTTAATTTGTCATCAAATTCTTAATAAAACCTAAGTTAATTTTATATAAATATTCTTTAGTATATATATCTTATTAAGTGAACAAGCTAATTTGATGTGCTAAAACCCCATACAATAAAGAACTCACCTTCACTGGTCGAAAATTGATAAAACGTATATATATCAGGTACCACTGGTCAAAAATTGATAAAACATACACATATCGGATACCTGATATGTGTATGGTGCGTCCCTAATATCGGACATATATCGGGTACCCGATATGTGTAGAAAATATTTTATATATATATCAGGTACTCGATAAGTGTAAAAAAATATTTTCTATACATATCAGGTACCCGATATATGTCCGATATTAGGGACGCACCATGCACATATCGGATATCCGATATGTATATGTTTTATCAATTTTCAACCAGTGGTACCTGATATATGTACGTTTTATCAATTTTCGACCAGTGCTTGTAATATTCACTGGTCAAAAATTAATAAATTATATACATATCAGGTATCCGATATGTGTATAGTATGTCTCTAATATCGGGTATATATCAGATATCTAATAGGTGTAGAAAATATTTTATATATATATTGAGTACTCGATAAGTGTAAAAAAATATTTTTTATACCTATCGAATACTCGATATATGTTTGATATTAAGGATGTACCATGCATATACACTGATCGAAAATTGATAAAACATACATATATCAGGTACCCGATATGTGCATGGTGTGTCTCTAATATCAGGCATATATCGGGTACCCGATAAGTGTAGAAAATATTTTTTTACACTTATTGGGTACTCGATATATATATAAAATATTTTCTACATCTATCGGGTACCCGATATATGCCCGATATTAGGAACACACCATGCACATATCGGGTACCCGATATGTGTATATTTTATCAATTTTCAACCAGTGATATTAGGTACCTGATATGTATATGATTTATTAATTTTTAACTAGTGATTTCTTCGAATTCACTATTAAATAATTGAATTGAGTTGATCTTAGTGATCCTTGAGAAATTCTGAGAATTATTTAAATAGTTTAAGTTAGTTTTGTTAAAAATATTAGTTAACTTTTAGACTCTTGTCTACATATTGGTATGACAATATGATATTAGGCATGACTACTATACTTATTAGATATCCAATAGGTATAATATTAATAGATATCGAAAACCTATTAGGAATCTATTTGGAAGGAGATAAATATTTAATAAGTATTTGATATTCCAGATTTTGATCAGTATTACTAATTGAATTTTAAATATTACTATTTTCTAATGTTATTGTTAACTATTTGCATGTGTTTTTAATATTGTATATTATACTTTTTGATTATGATAATTTTATTTTATAACAATATGAATACAAATTCATTGTTATATTTTTTATAAGATAAAATATCCAAGTATAATGACAAACTTGCAAACTTATCATTACTTTGAAATAATAATAAATATATGATTTTGTTATCATAGCTGAGTAAAAATAACCTAAGTTAAGTGGAAACAATATAATTATATTATTTACATTACCTTTTAGATAAGACTATTTTGACACTATATACTTTAACTCTAGCTCTCATAGAAAAATTAACCATGATCTTGATATATATTATAAAAAACAAAATGCACATCACTTGAGTGTGACTTAAAATGTAAAATGCACATTACACTGATATATGTCTTAGTAGATTTCAGGTGATAATACAAACACAGGTCAAATACAAAAGATATATTATATCAAAAAGGAATTTTGATTTTAGTTTATTTATAATATAAGATATAATAGGATGGTTAATTGTTATTAATTTTTAGTTAATCTATAATATAGGAATACCATTCAGTATAATAATTCTTTTGTATTTGACTAATGAAATATTATCTATATAGTACTTGATATATAAACTATAATAGTCTCAAGTATATATTTTAAAAACAAAATATGACACCTTGGTATATGTCCTAAAATTTGAATTTTGACATATACTGAGACTATTATAATCTAAGCTAAGATGTTTTTTGTTTATATAAACAAAAAATATTTATATTTAAAAAATCAATTTTTATAATATATCCTAGAAATTATACAGATTTTGAACTTAAATTTATCTACAACCAGTAATTTAATTCACTTGATTTTTTTTAAATATATATTAATTTTTATATATAGAATTAGATTTGAAATTTATTTATTTATTATAATCCTAAATAAAAAATTAGAAATTTACTTTTTTATAAATTAATTAATTTCAATAATATAATATTATTAAACTAATATAAAATTCATTACTTAATACTTTTTTAACTTCTATTTTATTATAAATATAAATTTATAATATTATTACTAATACATGTGCTATAAATTAAAGTTAAAAGTGATATATTAATTTTGAAAGTTACTATATATCTTTATCCATTTGTATTAAAAATTATGTCAATTTTTTTCATTTAACCAGTATTAAACTAACTGATATCTTCTATCAAGTAATATAAACCAAACTACTGTATCATGTATTTTTGAACATAATATGTTAAACTTCTAAAAGAACTATAAAATATATTCTAATTGAAAAGTTGAATATCATCAATATGCTATAATTACAAAAATAAAAAACAAGAATATTTGAAAATGATGAAATTATTTTTTTATCTCAAGAAAATGTATAAAAAAAATATAAAAAAAAACCATATGAATGCAATGAAGAAGAAATAATGATAAAGAAAAATTTTAAAAGATATATGATTTTTGATATGCAATTTATGCAATTTTTTAATTTTTAATATATAATCTTTATTTATAATTATACTTATTAAGTATAATTAGTATAATTTCAATTCAAATATTAAAAAAAATTCAATATGAATCTTTAAATACCCATAAAAGAAACAGAACTAAGGCATATTGTTTCTGTACAAAATGTAGACAAATCCATGTCATTTGTTAAAATATGTTTCAATTTCTCATGAATATTGACAAGAAGAAATAGCTAATGATAATTAACTTGTTTCTCCTTCTCTGGTGGTAATTTGGATGGAATACTCAATTACAGTCTAAATTAAAGTCTTAATTGATAATTTGCAAATATAAAATTTATATATTTTTTTCTATCTTTTTATAAAATAAATATTTTAATAATTTCTAATTAACATATCCCGTCATTCTCATATTGTCAATTAATATAATAAAAGCCAAGTAAAGGGTGAACAGAAAACCTTTAATTTTTTTTTACGGAAGAGCACAGAAACTAAAATATTAAAGAAGAAAGATTGATTAATGAATGATTTAGAGGCGCATTTTAGCTTCTAAAATATTAAAGTAAAAAATTTTTTCTTTTCATGCAAGATCTTCGATCAAATTTGGCTGAGTTTGACATCGTGGCATTGCAATTTACCCAATATCCAAGATTTCGGGGCTTTGCTTGCATTTATCGTGGGATATAATTACTGGCTAAATATTTTTGTTATCATCAGATGATTTCGAATTTATTATAATATATTATTACACTGCCGCTTAAGGGCTCAGCGTTTTTGTGGCTTGAATGTGAATTTTTCTTATTTTCGTAAATCATCTTGAGTGTGTTGGGTTACTTTCTCCTTGGCTCAACCGTTACTCTAGACAACCACAATATAATTTACAATGAGTATCTTGAAGGGTGCATTGGAAAGGCTTCTAGCCGAGGCACATTCTTCAAAACAAAAAGAATTAGAACAAGCTTGTTCAACTGCATTAGAGCAACTTAAAGAAGAAATAAATTATCTCTTGAAGAAAGCTGCCATAAAAAGAGGAAAACAAAAAGAAAACTTAGAGAACATTGTAAATGAAGCTAATGGAACTGAAATTTCTACTGCTTCCAACGGTACTGACTCTAAATTAATCAGTAATGATATCAGTATTGGTACGGCTGGAGAAACAAGTGATACCGTTGCTGAAAAGGTCGAAAAGCATACACTGGCCGACAATTCCGGAAAAAATACCGAATCACCAATGTCAGTTAGCAATGGTCGTGTATCTATATCTAGCAGCTTGTTCGCACGGGCCGGTGAAGATTTACCTAAAGTTTTGGCCGATGATTACTGGCTACCTTTTAGAATTGCTTGCGGAAATACTATGCCAACTAATATTCGAGTTATAGCTCTTGATTGTTTACAAAAAGTTATTGCACATGGATTGCTTATTGGGAATAATTTTATAGCACTACCAAAGAGTGGGTCAATAAAAAAACGGGACCCCAAAGCAAAAAATCAGAATTTTGGATTTAATGATACAAATGATTTAACTATTCTTGATCCATCATCACCTTTCGAGGATACTGAATCATTGGATGGAAATCCTTCACTGAATTTTCCTAATCCACCTCGATTGATTGATGATGTGGTGCACACAGTATGTATTGGATTTACCGGACCACAAACGGATCAAACAGTTCAACTTCAAATTTTAAAAGTATTACTTACACTTGTCACCACAGAACAATGTCCAGTTCATGGAATTAGTTTGCTTAAGATTGTTCAAACATGTTGTAATCTTTATTGTTTTTCAAAAAGTCAAGTGAATCAAGCAACTGCAAAAGCAGAATTGACACAAATATCAAATTTAATTGTTACTCGACTCGAAGAATTTTCTATGGAGTTATCAAAAATCGAAGCTTCCAAACAACAAATATCTACTACCTCCACTTATCAAGATGCGATCCTTGAGTTTAATCCCATAAAAGAAAGCGATAATGGTGCTGAAGATAATGACGAAGAGATGGAAATGATATTCGATGTTGGTAAAACTACTAATGGAGTTGGTTCACCAAATTCTGTTGATAGCGCAAACGTTATTAATGACAAAGTTGATGAAATTGAGGAAAATAATAATACTTCTCAATCTCCTAATATACAAAAATATATCGAAAGTTCACCTTCTAATATATCCACCGACAATGCCATTATAAATGATGTTCAAGATACAGATGAAGTTGTTGAAGACTCTGTAATTATTGATGAAATTTCTCCAAACTCAGATGTGTCCAAAAATAATGATAATGGAAATTACGAAGCTAGAGAAGTTAATGAAGTTGAGATAAAAAATGTTGACGTTTCCAATAATGATAGTGAGATAATAACTTTTATTGACAATATCAACCCTCAAAAATGTGAAATAGAAAAACAAGAAATTTCGTCCGAAGTTCAAGTCAATGGGATTGTAGAAATTCAGATCTTGTCAACGGATATAACGTCTGAAATACAAGAGAGTGTAATTATAGAAAATAAATCCAAGACACAAGATTCTGCAAATGAAATCCCTGGTGGTAGTATTAATGAAGACAAAATTAAAGTTAAAGAGGAAATACCGGATACCTCTGATGTTAAGGAAAACGGAATTGTAATTAAAGATGACCAGTCAGAAATCATTGATCCGAAAATTCTAGAACCTTCTCTATCACCGAAATTCGTTGATGAAAATCCTAAGAAACCTTTAAGGCGTCGAAGATCTTCTTTGGCAAATATGAAAGATCTCAAAATAGAGATACCTCCTACCAGTAAAAAACACAAAACATCGCCCCTCAAAAAGCCTTCAAGTCACGAAACTTTTAACATTCTACGTAAGGATCTTTATTTAACTTTTCGATTGTTTTGTAGACTTTCAATGCGTTTAGATGGTGAAAAATCTCAAGCTGAAGATATTAATCTACGCGGTAGATCTTTAGTTTTAGAATTAATTCTTTCGATGTTAGATAATTCTGGTCCTGTTTTTCACTCCGATGAAATTTATATTAAACTAATTCGGAAAGCACTTTGCGTTTCATTGTCACAAAATGGAGTTTCATCAAATGAACAACTATTTGAACTTTCTCTTTCCAATTTTCTCATGTTATTGCGTTATTACAGGGCTCCATTAAAAACAGAATTAGAAGTGTTATTTAATGAAATATATTTACGTTTTCTGGATATGAGCAACGCAACTTACCAACAAAAACATTTAGTATTACAAGGATTAATGAAAATTTGCCAAAAACCTCAAATTCTCTTAGATATTTATCTGAATTATGATTGTGATATTACGATGGTTAGTGTATTTGAACGAATTGTGACCTCGCTATCCAAAGTAGCACAATTACGTACGAAGGTATCAAATAAATCAAGTAGGGGAATTATGGGGAGTAACTCCGCTGGATTAGAATTGATAGCACTACATGATAAAACATTAAAAGTGAAAGGTTTAAGGTGTCTTGTAGCTATTGTTAAATCTTTGATTGAGTGGTGTAAGGATTTAGAAAGAAAAAACGGTGTTGAATCCCCACGACAATTACTACCCCAAAATCCAACGCTGGATACTGTTGAAGATAAAACACCAATAATTTTTTCCAAAAATCCGTTATTGAGTATTAATTTCTCAACGTTACATTCCAATTCGAGCAGCAGCAGCATAGGTACAGTAGATTATGAAGATAATCCAGCGCAATATCACGAAATTATGTCCCGTAAACAAACGTTGCGTGAGGGAATTAAGCTGTTCAATACAAAACCACAAAAAGGAATAAATTTCTTGATACAACATGGTTTCTTGAAAAGAGATTCTAATAACATAATAGCTTTTCTTGTATCAACACCTGGATTGAATAAAGCATCTATAGGAGAATATTTAGGTGAAGGAGATCCTGAATCCATCAAGATTATGCATGCATTTGTCGATCGTATGGATTTTTCAGAGTTAAGTTTTGTTGATGCATTAAGAACCTTTCTTCAAACTTTTAGACTTCCCGGTGAATCCCAAAAGATTGATCGCATTATGGAAAAATTCGCTGATCGTTATTGTGAAACGAATCCCGATATATTTGCAAACGCTGATACAGCCTACATTCTCGCTTATTCTACCATCATTTTAAATACTGATCAGCATTCCGTGCAAGTCAAGAGACGCATGGAGAAATCTGAATTCATAAAAAACAATCGAGGTATAAATAATAATAATGATCTTGCCGATGAGTTTTTAGGCAAAATATTTGATGAAATTGCCAATAATGAAATAGTAATGGAGGAAGAACAATTTTCGGAAGTAGCAAAAACTGCGATTAGTCATGCTACTGATCGTGAACGTCAGGAATTATACGAAAGAGAAATTTCTCAGATGCAAAGAAAAAGCCAAGCTCTCTTGAAAAGTAATAGGCATGGACAAATTCCATCCGTTTGGCGAAGTGCTTCACATGCAGATCATGTTAAACCCATGTTTGCTGTGTTATGTTGGCCCCTAATGGCTACTCTAAGTTTAGTCTTTGAAGAAGCTGACAATCCTCTGTCGAGTAATAACTCCAATAAAGGTACCGAATTTGCACAAGCAAATCAAGAAGCAATTGAACTTTGTCTTGATGGTTTTCTTGGCGCTATTCGTATTAGTAGTATTTTTCGAATGGATGTTGAACGTGATGCTTTCGTTTCGTCTCTGGCTAAATTGACTGGATTGAATCACGTAGATGAAATGAGATCAAAACATGTCGCTGCAATTAAAACATTATTATCTGTAGCCAATTCGTACGGTGAAGGTTTGCAATCTTCGTGGTTCATTGTTTTAAAAACAGTATCTACTATAGAAAGTTATCAATTGATTGACAGCTCGACCGGTTCAGTTGCTTATTCTTCTGATGGTGCTAGTGGATTAGATTATTCTCCACAAAATAGTCGTAATAATATAACATCCTCCAACAATTCCGTTATTTCGTCTACTATACCCCGTCAAAGTATTAATACCACTCGTAGAGGATCTCTCAGTGGAGTGATGAAAGAATTTCAATCTCAAAGTACTATAATAGCAATCGATAGAATTTTTACAAATAGCGTTAAATTAAGTGGGGATGCTATTGTTCATTTTTTTAAGGCTCTCTGTACTGTCTCTCTTGAGGAAGTTAACTTATCGAGATCATCGCCAAGAATGTATAGTTTACAACGAATTGTTGAAATTGGTGAGATTTTTTTTTTTTTTAAAAAAAATTTCAGTTTATTTATTTATTATTATTATTCTTCTTACTTTTAAACATATGAACTAAAATTTTCGTTATTACTGTAGCATATTATAATATGTCTCGTATTCGATTTGAATGGTCACAGATATGGAAAATTCTTCAACCTCATTTCATAACTGTTGGATGTCACGAGAATATTATTGTTGCTACATTCGCTATTGATTCACTTCGACAATTGAACATGAAATTTTTGGAAAGAGATGAGTTATCACATTATAATACTCAAAGCGAGTTTATGAAGCCTTTTGAACAAATCATTAAAAACAATCCCTTGCCGAATATACATGATCTCATTATTCAATCATTTATTCAAATGATTTCTGCTCGTGCTAGAAACATAAAATCCGGATGGAAGAGTATATTTGTAGTTTTCGGTCGCGCTGCATCGGATGAAAATATACAATTAGTTGAAACCACCTTTAGTGTTTCTAGATTGGTGTATCAAAAACATTTGGATCTTATTGGACCGGCTTTTGTAGATTTTGTCAATTGCTTAGTGGAGTTTGCATTTAACGGAAAAGATGAAGAATTGATTAATGAATCTATTAGGATGTTACAGGGTTGTGTAAAAGTTTTAGTTAAAGATGTTGATAATACATTATATAAATCTGATAATAAAGAAATAGTATCACAAACTAATTCAGAACAACAAATAATTGCATCAAAAAGGAAATTGCAGCATATTGAAGAAGAACAATTTTTTTTGAAATGGTTTCCTGTAGTTTCTGGTCTATCCCGTTTAGTGATCGATTCAGAATCTCCGGCAGTCCGAAATAGAGCGTTAGAAGCATTATTCGATATTTTGAAATCAACCGGAAATTTATTCGAAATTAGTTATTGGAATAAAATATTTCGAAATGTTATTCTCCCTATATTTGAAGATCTCAAGGAACCAACTTCTAGACAATCACCATCAGCTACTGATTTTAAAAGACGTGAATCAACTTCAGAGATTTGGATTCAAACTATTCGGTTAATTATAGATCTCTACACATTATTTCATGATATTTTCTCTACCCAACCAGAATTTTTGGTGGAACTTTTAGACTTATTAGTTGCACTTCTTAAACGAAGAAATGAAAAATTGGGACAAACCGGAATCCATTGTTTTCATAATTTAATAGTAAGAAATGGTATGCGATTCGATAATGTAACATGGGGAATAGTGACAATCTCTTTAGAAGACATATTTAAATGGACTACACCTAATGAACTCTTAGAGATAGAAATAGTAAATTCTGAAATTGAAAACAGAAATAGAAGTGGTTCGATAAATAATAATAATAATAATAATAATAATAATATTAATAATATTAATAATATAAATAATAATATTAATAATATAAATAATAATATTAATAATAATGTAGTAGGAGGTGAAATTCCATCAAAAAATTCATCAATCGAAACGTTTTTAAACGACAATCTTTCGACAACAACACCTTTTTCATCCAATAAAAATGGTAACACCAAAATTGATATCGATTTTCCACACGCTATTATTAAGTGTGCGGCACAACTTATTGCTATACAATCAGTTCAAGATCTTGCACTTAATGATAATTCTAAGTCATCAACAAAAGAACCAGTTCACTATCTAACTCAAATGCCAGCCGAATTCAGGAATCGATGGCTTAGATGTTTATATAATTCATATAAATTTGCACACGATTTCAATGCAAATGATAAACTTCGTCATGCTTTATGGAAAGCAGGATATGTTCAACAAATGCCTAACCTCACTAAACAAGAGACATTATCACTTTCAGTTTTTTTATCCATACTTTTTGATCTTTATAAAACATTTGGTGATGAAGATCAAGATTTATTGCCTCCGTTAGTTGAAGAATCAACACAAGTGTTTGATCGATTCATTAGATTAATGCATGAACCAATATCGAATCAACAGCAACGAGAAATGACAAATTGGTCGCCTTTGGTAATAACAGTTTTTAAAGAATTGTGTAAGACAAAATGGGATGATGGAAAACGAGAAAGTGATGTAGATTTTGATGATGAGAGGGAAATGCATGATACTAAAACAACTCGTTTAGTTGGACTTAGAAAGCAAATACCGGATTTCTATAGATTAGCGATTAAAATAATTGGTATAGATAGAGTTGATGTTAGAATTGCACTTCAAGAATTCTTGGAAAAAATTGGAAATGAATTTTTAAATATTGATAAGTGGGATAATTGAAATATAAAAATATAAAATATTGTTAATATCATTGGTAAACATATCAGTAATAATAATAATAATAATAATAATAATTATAATAATTATTATTATTATTATTATTATTATTATTATTATTAAAGCTATTGGAAAAAATATTAAAAATATTATAATTGTATCATAGATTTTTAATTGACAATTAATGTAAAAATTTTGAGCATAATTTTGTAATTTTTAATAATTTTAATAAGTTAAATATTTGTTTATTTGATTTAGATTTTTTTTTTTTTTATAATTTCTTATTCAATAATATAATTTATTTGATATACGTACAAAAATAAAAAGTTTTAATAAAAAAATAATAATTTTCAAAATTAATTTATTTATTTTAATAAAGGAAAAGCTTTGTTCCATTCTTAACTCAATTTTTTTGCACTATAAATATGTAATTTCTCATCTTCACCTCCACTCAAAATTACATCAAAATCCCAGTCCACACAAAGAACTTTCTTGTCATTTATTTTACTTTCTTCATTTGAAGATATTTGAAGCGTATATAAAGGTGTCTTACTACGAATATCCCATATTTTTAATGATGCATCATAAGATCCACTAACGAGCATATATTGAGAATTTGTTGACCATGAGACACCCGATACCCAATTTCGATGAGATGCAAGCGTCAAATTTACAACGGTTGCTTCTAATATTAATAATATTAATAATATTAATAATATTTGATAATATTAAATAATTGAAATAATCAAATAGTCAAAAGATCAAAAAGATTTAAAAGTTCGGGATAAAATATAAGCGTACCTTTGGCGCGTGGATCCCATAATCTTATTACTTTATCGGAATGACCCGATGCAATTAATCCGGATTTATCGGAATATGTAATATTCAAAACTGATTTATCACAATTCTAATCATTTATATTTATTATATTTATTAAAATCTTATTCACAAAGTTTCATGTAAGAAATTTAATAATATTATTAATACCTTTGTATTAAAATTTGTTGTTGATTCGATATCCCAAATTCTTACAGAATGATCCCAACCACCACTATACATTTTACCATGATCGTTGGTATCAAAAACTACTGAAGAAACAGGTCCAATATGACCATGCATCCTTGCGATTGGCGTCTGAATCATGTGTATGTATAATAATAACAATAATAATAATAATAATGAATTTTAGGAAAAGAGAAAAAAAAATTTTTCATGTTAGATTACCTTAACTTTAGTTTCTCTAATATTTAATTTTCTCCTTTTCGATGAAATTTCTAAAATTTCTTGTTCACTTTCTTCTGGAATAGCAGTTGTCCAAAATAATATTGAAGAATCCCAAGATGCACTTACAAACTAAAATTAAATATTGATTAGATTATCTAATTTTCTTTTAAGAATCAAAATATTTTATTTTACCTTGGTACGAGAGGGATGAAGTGATATACTTTCTACATTCCCCTTATGTCCTTTGCATTCATACAAAGTTAAATATTTATCATCAATTAGAGAAGCCTAAAAAGATTAGAAGATTTATAAAATTTCTCATATACATATATAATTTACATATATAATTAAATGTTATAAATGGTAAATTGTTGATAACGACATACTTCCCAAGCCCATATTGTTCGATCTTGTGAAGCTGATAAGAAAGTGACATTATCATCTATAGTTACAATAAATAAATTATTTAAGTTTTAGGTCAATTTCATGATTAAGTGTATCCCATTTATTCTTTTTATACCTGAGACAGATATCCATGAAACACTTTTAATTGGTGCCTGATGTCCAGCAAAAGTCTTTAAACATTCTCCAGATGTATTGAATATACGAACGTGATTGTCATATGATCCTGTCAAGATTAAACTGAAATGAAATTAATTTTTTTGAAAAAATTTCAAAATATATATATATATATATAAAGACTAACCTTTGATCATGACTTTTTACAGAACTTATCCAATCATAATGTTGAAAAGTTGATAGTGGAGTTGGTGGAAGCAACGATTCGACGTATTTGATGGTAAGTATATTTTCCTTTATAAAAGAAATTAAAATTTTCTAATTCAAATTCGAAAATAATCAAAGCAAAAACATTTTTAAACAAAACGTTGTTCATACTGTCGATAAGTTTGCATTTTGTATATATTCGGATAAACTTGTTCTTAAAAATTGATTATCAATTAAAAAATCGAATGGAATAGGTTTCTCTTTATTACAAGTTAGAAACAAATTGTAGAAAGAAAAAAAAAGTTAATGGACTACAAATTAATTTTACAATTTTTACAATTAAATTTTACAAAATTAAAACCAACCAAAACCCAAAAGATGGTTTATTATCTCAGAAAGGCCATAACGACGCAAACTAATCGGAACAAATATTACAGAATCTGTAACCGCGTATTTTCTTTGCTGGGTAATAAACCGAACTTGAATTTGAATATTTTCTTGAAGTGTTTCCATTTTTTTTTTTTTTTTTTTTTTTTTTGAAAAAAAAAACGAGATTATGCAACTTTATATTCACGTGTACAGATGAAAAAAATGGGTTTTATTAGATTATATTTGATTACATTTACTTTTTTTTTACTTTTGGTACAGAAATTACATAAATTAAAGCTATTCAATAGCTTCTATTTATAAATAAACACGTTAACTAAATACACTCAGATGACTTTAACAATAGAATTGTCTAAGGTTGATCTCTTTCTTTGTGCTGCAATGAAATCTGCACGCATTTTAAAATAATCCTTATGTAATCCGCATTCTGATTTGTTTTTTCCTTCCCACCTTCCACCACGTTCATTACTTAAGTCATTGGTTGGTAATGTGCTATGCCAATCCCCCACTGATCGATATCCTTGATCTAGAAGTGGATTGTACGGTACCTTAAAAAAAAATAATTCCAAAAGTAGTTAGCATTAATTTTATTTGATTTACAGTTTTTTTTTTTTTTGGTATTTATAACCCACCTCGTTAGCACGAACGTAAGTTCTAACTTTTGTAAAATCCCAGTGAGCTAAAGGATTCAATTTTAACAAACCAGTTCCTTCTTCTATTTCTAAAATGTCTATACTTTCGCGATCCCCTTTTTGACTTCGACGACGTCCGGTTATGATAGCCTTAACACCCAATTCTTTATATGCCCTTCTCGAGGGTTCAACTTTGACCAAATAATCATAAGTAGTTTCATCTGTTTCCCAGAGTTTTTGCCCATAGATTCGTTCAAAATCTTGTGCTGTATCGCAACTGATTGGTTTATAAGTGTGAAATTTAGTTTTATAATGAGTGGTTGCTTTGTTCGCAAGAGACAAAGTTTCTGGAAAATGATAAAGAGTATCGAGAAAGATGAGAGGGACTAAATGCTGAGGTAAGGTTCCATTTTCTTCGGCAAATTCGAGACTGACTTTAGATATCATATCTAGAATTGCGAGACCTGTATATATAGTCGAATATGAAAAGTTTAGATATAATTCTTTTTTTTTTTTAATTTATCAATGATAATAAAATATACGTGCCTGTGAGACCAAAAGCAGTAGTTTGATATAAACCAGGTAAAGTAACTATAGCCCATTCGAGAATTTTTTTGGGTGGCAATTTTGCCAATGTTTCATTAAGATACTTTAAATGTTCTTTGTTGAATAATATTGGAAGATTTTGATTGTCTTCTAATTCGAAGGTATTATCTGTATTGGGTGCCATTTGAAAAACTTTTATTATTTTTTGTTTTTTAACAAATTTAAAGAGCAGTCAAAATTTTTTAAAAAAAAGATTATCGAAAAAATTTTTTGGAAACCAAAATAGTTGCCTTTTTAACCTTTTTCGACGTTAATTATTTTAATTCGTAATTTCGAGCAAATTTCGCGTTCGGCTATATCTGAAATCACTCAAATTTTTTTCAACTGACGCCATCAGAACCGTTTTTAATTGGCTGAAAATATCGGCTTTAATTCATGCACTAAATAATAATTTAGATGGTGCACGTATTTGTGTTAATTTTTACAACCTTAACTTGCGTTTATATTTACAGGTGAAAATCATATGTAATAAATTGACATACAAATTTGAAATTTTATTTAATATAAAAGTAAAATTATGTCGTATAAAAACAGCCATGTGGATTTCAGCTGTAATGAATATAATATTGATTTTATATTTTATAATTGGGACAGATCACTTATATTAATATCTTATTAAGTAATTTCCGATCTGAAAATGTACATCACGTGAGGTTCGTATTATGTCACATTCTTTTTCATGTGTCATGATATTTATAAGGATTTTCTATTTTATTCTGCATATAAGAATCTTATTAATTAGAATTATAATAAATATAATTTATGATCATTTTGCAATAGCATTTATCAACTTTATAACTTTATAGATGTATGTTTTTGAACGAGTTCTATTCTTCTTACCTATTAGCACTAGGCCACAAATAGGTAGAGAGATTTGAGATTAGTAATACCTGACGAGATGCAACTATGGAGTTGTGCAACTGTTTTTAATGCCGTAATTGTACCGTAATGCCGTAATTTTGCCGTAATTTTGCCATAATTCTGCCGTATTATGTCATAATGTAATTATATATAAAATCTACATATAAAATTTCTTATTTTATAAGTAAATATTAAAAACGGTACTAAATAACCTCAAAGGTGAGAATAATGTGCATCTTTTGTAAAAAGCTCAACCTATATCATCAAAAATTGAGAGAACGATTAGCGATTAATGTTCGAACGGGTGAAAATTTTAAAATGACTATCATTCGTTCAATTTTGATGAAATCAGCCTGCGATTTTTACAGGAGGTGCAATTAATCTTTATCTTTGAGGTTACTTAGTACCGTTTTTTTTGATATTCATTTATAATATAAAAAGTTTTATATGTGGTAACGATCGACGACTATATATATTTTATATTAACACAAAAATCGTCACATATAAAACTTTTAAGTGAATATCAAAAAAAACGGTACTAAGTAACCTCAAAGATAAAGATTAATTGTACCTCCTGTAAAAATTGCTGGCCGATTTCATCAAAATTGAGCCATTTTAAATTTTTTTACACATTCAAACTTTAACTACTAATACTTCTCTCAATTTTTATAAAATAGATATATCCTTTTTACAGAAGATGTATTTTGTTCTTGCATTTAAACTACTAAAAAGTATTATACATATTCTTGTATTTTCTATTTTTTTCTAACTCATGTATTGTCATAATTTCTTTTTATTTTCTTAAGGAACTGGTAATTCAATTTTGAATAGTAGAAATTTTGTATATGTCATTTGTTAGACTGAATTTATAATTTGAATTTGCTATTCTGATATAAAACATATCTTTTAATATATGTTTCATATTTTTTTTTTTATTTTTTTCTATAGTTTTTTTATTTTATTTTAGTTTAGTGTTCACTCAAATACAAATATTTCATATTTACAATTTATTAATCATTATTATTTATTTACCTTTCTATATTGATGATATCTTTGTTCAAATTTGAAATATTTTAATATTTTATAATTATTATTATTTCTTGTTATCATATTTTAATTGTTGATAAATATATAATTTATTCTTACTGATTCACAATCTATATCATCTAAATTATCTAAATTAATACCAGAATCCTCTATATTGAAAATAAAATACATAAAAATATAATTATTATACCTTTATTAGCATTAGGAAATATTTACTTTTTTGAAAAATTCTGAATAAGTAAAACATTGAGAATTGAATTTTTTATATATTCATTTTTTATAAATTTTTTTTCATTTGAATTAAAGATCATTTCTTTTATTTTTTAATTCTAGATAAAATTCTAGTACAAATAAAATTAGAATTTTCTCCTTGATCAAGTTATATTTATTTATGATAACTTTTAATTTTGAATATTGTTTCAATTTTTTTTATTTAATAAAATATATTTTATTATTATAATTATTATAATTATTATAATTTATTATTTATTGATTTTTTTCAAATATTTTAATTTCTATTTGATACTATATTAACAATTAATAATTCAATTTGAACATTTATTTATTTATAAAAAATCTAATAAATTCAAATAATAAATTTAGTTTTATAAATAAATTTATAATAATAGGTAATAACAAATAAAATTTATTTTTTTTGTTTTAACCTTTATATTTTACTTGAATAAAATTTAAAAATTTCTATTTCATTTATGACCATTTCTATATCATTACCTTTTTCAATTGTATTTTCTAATTTTATATATTATATTGTTAATTGTGATCTGACCTTTAAAGGATATAATTAACTATTAGCTAAAAGTATAATAGCTAAACTAAAATATATTACTACTAATTAATTTATACTACAAAAAAATATAATATTTGAAAGATTTAGATATTATAAATTTGTTTGAAGAAACAAGGCTATAAGATTTTTATAAGGATTTGACTAAACTATTTACAAAGTACAGTCAAACCAGCATAGGGATAGTTTGTTTTTATTGGCCGGTATGATCAACAATCTCGTGATTGACATGATGATCAAAATTTCGAT